GCTGCATCATTCCTCCGGTGGAATGAACCGCGAGCCGTGGACGTGCTCTACCTGCGGGAACAAGGTGAAAGCCACCGCTCATTTCTGCGGGCAGTGTGGTGCAAGTTGGAGCTATGTGGCGAAGCCTGCAACCGCACCGTGGAAAGGATCAGGGCAGTGGCACACGACTACGTGGGAACGGTCGGCATCACCGAGGCGGAGGACCGACTGGAACCAGCAGCAGAAGGGCGGCAAGGGCAAGAGTGGGCCCAAGTCGCCTCGCAGACGTGGACGAGGCCAGGAGGGCAAATCAGCTCAGCCGGGTCAGGCCAAGGGAAGTGGCAAGGACCCAGCAATGCAGCCCAAGGCGCCCAATCTGGATACTCTTCCGAAACCGGCGGTTGCGCGGATAACCGAGCCGCCTGCTACAGCACCCAGCGGAAGCCAGGGTGCACCAGAGGGTCAGATGCAGCAGTTGCTGCAGATGCTGGCCAGAAACCGCGAAGGGCTCCCGGCGGAGATCCGGGATATCGTGGACACGCAGGTGGAGGTCGACACCAAGCAGCAAGCCAAGAGTATGCACAGATTGGTGGCAGCCCAAGGTGCTGCGCGCCGCCAGTTGACAAACACACGTGCGGCGAGACAGGACTACATGAAGGAGTGGTCCTCCTATGTGGGGGGCATATCGGCCTTGTGGCAGGACCAGATCGCCGAGAAGAACAAAGCGCTCGAGGCCTTTCTGCTTTCCGAACAGCAGTGGGAGCAGAAGCTGGCGGCAACGTCGCAGCAGATCAAGGCTGCCGCGGACACCGACGAGCCTATCCTGCTGGACGACCAGGACGATGCCGAGGATATGGAGGATCTGGTGAACGAGCAGGCTCAGCTGGATGTTCAGCGCCAAATAGCGATGGACAAGATGCGGGCCACCAGATCACGGCATCTCTGCAGGCGGCCGCCAAGGCGGCCGAGCAGCAGACGGCAGAGCTTGCAAGGGACGAGCGCGAGCGGTCGCCGAGGCGAAGACAGCCTGCAGAGCCGACAGTCAAGGACAAAGAAAAGGATGGAAAAGCGGGTGGTTTGCCGCCGCAGCCTGCGCAGCCTACGCAGGCGGCTGCGGGTGGCAAGACGGGCCCTCAATGAGCCCCACAACGAGCCTTACGGGACTTGTGGGGCAGGGGCCGCTGGATTCTTTTGAGTTCGGCTGGCCGGCGGTGAGTCTTACTGTCAAGCAAGAGTGGGACTTTACCAGCACATTTATGGCTGCGTTCCTAGGCCTACGATGTGAATTCGAAGTACGCATCGCTGAGTTGGGTGTGGTCTCCAACTTAATTCTGGACAAACGACAGCTACCGGATCAGCGTCGGCGACCGTTGTTGGTTCGGGTTGCGCAACCCCTGGTGCGAGCTCGGGTGACCACTTGCGTGCAGGCGCCTGCCTCCCAGGAGGTCGGCGTATGCCGTGAGGGTGCGAACCCGGGCTCGCCCTTCTTCCTGAAAAGCATAATGAAGGATGCAGGACGTAGCAGGCCTTACCGGTCGGTCTGCTTCTCTGAGGATGTTGAGCAGCTTGAACCGCTGCAGCACGATGTGATGAATAGTGAGAGGAGAGGTGTACAGATTGTACAGGCCGATGCTTGCCATGTTTTTTCTGTGGCCTGCAGTGAGTCCCTTGAGGGTTTTGGGATCGGGTCTAGGCCTCCTCGCTACTGTCGTCCTCGCCCTGGTTGTTCGATTCATGGACTTCCAGGCCACGCCGATTGGCCGCACCCTCCGATGTTTCTGCGGAGGTTTCCTGTGCCGCAAAGACTGGTTGGGTACAGGGGTATTGCCCTTGTGTTCCGTTGGATAGTGGGGATAGGTATGGTGATGGTGCTTGCTTGGGGTTTAGGCCTCCTCGCTGCCGTCTTCCTCGCCCTGCCTGGTTCCCTTGTAGATCGCCAGGCCACGCCACAGCCGCTCCTGACAACACAAGAAGCTTGCCCGCTGGCGACACTTCTGGAAGCTCTGCCCATCCTGAGCCAACGGATGGTTCTGTGTCGAGCCTTGCTAGGGAGTGCTTGCCAGCTGCCATAGCTGGGGAATCACGACTGCCTGATGATGAGGTGCAGGTGCTGGACCATCTGGCCAGGCCTTCCCTGGCCTCTTGGAATCGCGGCGACTATGTTGCAGATGCAGCCCGCACTGTTAAATATACAATCCGGGCTACCTACTTTCTTGATGTTCCTCTGCCGAGCATTCCCACCCCACAGCTTGTTGTCACTGACGATACTGCTGAACCCTTGCATCGTGCTCTACCTGTTGACCTCAGGCCACTCCGTGGTATGATGCACACAGTCACGGTGCCTCCAGTTGGAACTGCTGAAAACATATGGGAGTTGCTCGTCCTAAAGGGGGTGGAGGAAAATTGCTTTCTGCGTGGATTATGGGCTGCAGGGAAAGTGCACTTCGTCGAACCCGCTGGTGGGGTCTTCTTGCGGTGGACCACTGTACTTGACTTACCCCAATGGCTTGCGCTGGTCCCTGCCGCTGAGGTGTATTTCCCCTGTCAACTCAAAACGATAAGACCTACAAATCACCCCTATGCCAGAGGCCCTGAGGCCAACGCTAAGGTGCGGGTCAAGCCCTTTTGGCCTACCGAAGTTGCGCGTATACTCGCGCATCATGTCACTGTCGCACCCACACACCTCTCAGGTGCACCTCTGTACATGGCCCTTGAAGAGGTGGGAGAGCTGGAGCAACCGGCGTTCGACCCAGACACCTTGCGGGGATTGTTCACTGTGTTCGAGGTTGGGGAGCGCCCGCGTTCTCGCCCCTCCTTTCGGGATTGGGTGCTGGCTGACTACGTAGCAGATGCGCTCTCTAGTGCGCGGCGACCGCCAAGGGCTGTCCAAATATTGACCCGACCAGTACATGGCCATCCTGTCCCGCAGCTGGTGTTGACGCCAAGGGATTCGGACCCCCTTCATATGGCTTTGGTTTGTGATTGGCGTAGTCGGGGTAGGGATGTTGTCACCGTGGATTGACCGCCAACTGTTGACGTTGCTGATTTTGAGGAGCTGGTTGCCACACACATGCCGCGGAGACCGCTTCTCGAGGTGCAAAGGGAGCCATTGGTCATGCTCCAGGACGCCTTTGATAGGCAGGTGCAGCAACTACTGCGTCCCGCCAATCAACACGAGTGGGTCATCCCTGTCCTTGAGCAGCTTGATGTTGCACCCATGCCCACCGCCGCCGCGAGTGATGATTCTTCGACTACAGCCACTGTCACTTCCAAATTGCCTGCTGGTGAAATTGGTGATGGGCATGCTGCCCCCTCAGGCAGCCAGGCCGATGGAGGTTGCAGCAATGTAGTGGATCCGGACCAGGCTTTGATGCAAGACGCCATTCTTCAGCCGAGCGAGTTTTGTCAACCTGCTTGGGCCCATCGGCCCCTCGCGGACAGTTGTTTGTTCCCTGCCTTAAGTACTGTGCCTGCGGGCAGTGAGCATGCCTTCACTGTCATTGCTTGGGACCGCCCGATTACTACGCTCTTTGGAAGGGCAGATTGGACGGCCCAACATTTCTTTAGCGCTGCCATTGCATGGCTTGGTCTGGCACCGCGCGCGGTGAGAATTTTGACACACAGCATCCCTAGTCTGCCTGCGCCGCAGCTGGTCGTGACGGGAACTGATACACCGCTTGCAGCAGAGGTCGTACCGCTTGATTTGCGGCCATGCGGTAGTAATGTTGTGCCCTTTATTGCCATCCCCGGACAGTCTGCCAGCGAATGGGTTACGCAGCTGGAATCGGCGGCGCAGGAATCTCTTGGGGCTCCACTGTATCACGACCTCTTCCTTCAGGATTCGCGAGGTGGTGTGCATGCACAGGTGCCTGATGACTTAGATGACTTGCAGTGGTTTCGGGTTCGTGCGGCGGCGGTGGAGCAAGGCGCTGCGCCATGGTGCCGGCGAAGCTCCGAGACCTCAACCACTACCACCACCACGTGTATGCAAGGCAGACCTATCACTGTTCGCTTTGTCATGACGGGAGGCGCCACCACACTCCAGCTACCGCCTGTCCCTGCCCGTGAGGCTGATCCTGTGGCGGCGGCGGCTGACCTTCTCTTTGCCATGGCCAGTGCAGGCCGCCTGCTTGAGAACGCTGTTGTCACTCTTGCGGCTGCATGGCCGCCGCCGGCGCCTGCTGCTTCCCGGGAAAGAATTGTGCCTTTCATTGTTTCTGCACCAGGTGAGGCTGCTTTCCAGGTCATCTTGTTTGATCCATCGTATGATGGCTCGCAGGCGCATGCTATGGCAGTGCAGCCTGGGCTGCAAGCTGAAGACCTGATGAGTAACAATTACAGGCGATGTGGGCTCTCCCTGTGGATCAATGGAGTCCATATGTCAGCGGTAGTGAGACCACTGCGGACGGGCGACTACGTCCAGTTGTTGCCTATAACCGCCCTACTACGTTGCCCACTACCGTGCATCCTGAGGAGCTGCTGAGCTCCATCAACCGCCTCCGTGCCTTTTCTGCGCCCCTTCCTGTCCCTGCTTTCGCTCGGAATTCTGCGAGAGCCTCACATGAGGGGGCTCGTGCTAGGTCTAGAGCTGCACTGCTTCAGGCAATGGATCTGGCCACACGCGCACGAGTTGAAATGATGGGTCTACCAGTGCGGGTTTCGCAGGCGGTTGTGTTGCTTGAGCCGGGTAGGGCGCCACATCATCTGCATCTGCCTCTCCGCCTTACCCCGACTTTGGCTGAAGCAGAGGACTCGCTTTGGGACACTGGCATCATCCCGCGAGGACATCGGCTCATCGACACCCTACTTGATTCTAGGGCAGCTTCGGTTTTTATCGCGGCGCCGCCCCACGTCACAGGGCCTGTCTACACTCTCAACGACCCCACGAGGTTTGGTGCGTTTCATCTTCTGCACCTGCCACAGGGTACCAGGCCACCCCTTGAGCGTCTCCCGGTCAAGCAGGGGTTTGTGCTGGCATTGCCAGCGCACCTAGAGGATGGGAGCCATGTTGCTACCTCCAGGCCCATTGTCTATGCACCGATCAGTCGACGTAACGCACCTGCCATCGTAGCTGCTAGCCAGGATGAGCCGGCGTCGGCTAGCGCGTCTATGGACACGAGTATGTCTGGCCCAGCAGCATCGGTGCGTTCGGAGGAGATGCCAGCGGCTGCTGAGGATACCATTAACAATTCCCCGGACACTGGGCTCCGTGAGGGCACTTTTTTAGATGATACTGCTCGGCTCAAAAAGCGTTGCCAGAGTCTGCGTCAGGTGCAGCCAGTGCCATCTCGGTGCTGGTGTGTAGATGCGGACCTTCGGTGCGATAATAACAGGGATGAGGTTATGCCCCACGTCGAGGTAGGTATGCTGGACGAACCCTTTGTGAAGCCGCATGCTAACATCGTGCCCACTCCTCTGGGTCGCCGCCGACTCCAGCCAGCTCCTCAGGAGCCGGTCTGCATTCCTTTGAATGAGCTTATTCCGGCAGAGCATGTTCCCGCTACCATTTGCCTTACGGAGCTTCCTGCCAGGACTACCCCTGAGTCAAGTGGTCGGGTTCATGAGACCACCCTTCGGGTTGGAGTGCCTAGCGAGGCCGAAGCTGTGGTCCTGGACGGCTTTGCGCTCAAGCGGTATTGCCGCGACAAGCCGCAAGATGCTGGAATGCACCCAGCTGCCAAGCGCTTCCTCGCTCACCTGCCATCCTGCGGTCCCGAGGATGAGCCCACTGCCCACATGTTCTATGTTGATGGTTCGTGGGATGGTGTGCTAGGGGCGTGGGCTGTGTGCTGCTTAAGTCTAGTTGGGGATCAGTGGAAGTGGCACGGATACTTGTGTGATACCATGGTTGCGCCGCTGGCTGCCAATACGCCTTTCGACTGCGAGCTGTACGCGCAATTCGTGGCGCTTGGCACAATTGCCTGTGTTGGCAGGCCGTCTACGGTGTTCTACGACTGCACCTCCGCCGCTGCGGTCGCGCAGGGGCAGGCACAAACCAGCGCTCAAACGTGCATCGCACGAGCCGCTGCCAACCTCTCTTTGGGCAGATAGGATTGCACAGCAGCTGGCCAACCATGCAACATGTGCCTTCGCATAAGGGTGATCCCCTTAACGAGCTCGTCGACGGGCTGGCTAAGCGGGCTTGCAGCATGCCACAGGAACGGCGAGGTCTGGGAGATGACAACACACACACACACGTGCTAAAGAGTGGCCGCCAAAGTTGCAATGCTGGCTTACCGTGCCTGCTCCACACAGCCCAAGGTGAGGTTACCGAGGCCAAGGAAGTGCTCCGAGCCTTCGGGGACCACTTTGCGATTGCTGAGGCAGCCACTGCTACTGCGCTTGTTCAGCTGCCTCGGAACGAGGGCCACGGTGCGGCGCATGGGCCGACCTGGCTTACAGGTGCGCCCACGCTTGCTGACTTGGCAGCGTCCTTTGCATCGCTCTCACCGGGGAAGGCAAGCGGGATCAGTGGGATCCCACCAGAAGCCTACCAGGCTTGTGCGGCACGCGCGGCCCTCGTTCACATGCCGCTCATCCTGAAGTCCATATCCCGCCTTACCTTTCCGACCCTTTGGGGTGGCTTACGAGCCCACCCCGTCCCTAAACCAGGCAAACCTGGAGACCGCCTTGAAGGTTTTAGATCAATTGCCCTGGTTGAGCCGGCGTGCAAAGCAGTACTGAGATCGACGAGGCGTGACTTGCATGATTGCTTCGAGAAGCACACCATCCGCACGATCGGTGGAGCTAGGAAGCGCTTCCCTGCCGACTTACCGTCACTTTGTGTCCAGGCACATGCTGCAAGGCTTAAGAAGCGTGGACTGGCTGGATCCATTTTGTTTGTGGATGGCGTGTCCGCATTTTACGCGGCACACCGTGGGCACTTGTTTACCCAGGATGCCTGTTGCCTGCGTGAATACTTTGATGGACTTGCGCTTGAGCCTTCCGTCCGTCAACGCGTTCTCCGTGCCTTCCATGACACTGGTGCCCTTGAGCGTGCGGGGGTGGCGGCGCCCACCGTGCTGCTGTTGCGAGCGGCCCTGGCGCGGACCTGGTTCTCGGTCGATCTGACTGCACACCAGGTTTATGCCACGGTGAAAGGAACCACGCCTGGCTCCCCTGTTGCGGATATCTTGTTCCAATACGTGATTGGATTGTCGGTGACAGCTTCAGGCTGAAGGCCTTGCTGCGACGATTTCCTGCAAGGATGTGTGCGTCTCTGCTACTCCCCAGTCGTGGCTTGACGACGTCACAATCCTGGTCACCTCCAAAACGCCCGCGGATGTTGCACGGGATACGAGCCGGGCAGCGGCTTTGGTGTGCCAATACTTTGCAGTAGCAGGCATCGATGTCAATTTTGGTATTGGGAAGACCGAAGCTGTCCTCTGCCTCCACGGGGCGGGCTCTGTTGCTGCAAGGACAAGCGTGATGGTCACGCAAGGAGGCAAGATCTCTGTCCCCTTGCCGGGGAATCGGGATGCCAATCTGCGGTGCGTCGACTCTTACGTTCATCTGGGATCCAGGCGTGATGGGCGGGGGAACACCCAGGGGGAAGTCGAACGCCGTGCTCGCCTCACGATGGAGGCATTTGTTCCTTTTCGGAAGCGGATCCTATGCAACAGGCACCTTACGTTGCAGGAAAAGCAGCACCTGCTTGCCTCCATGATAATGTCCAAGTTCCTCCACAACGCCGGCACGTGGGACCTGCATTCGAAGCAGGCGTACCAGTCCTTTTGCAGTAAGTACTACAGTTTTCTGCGTGGCAGCATTCGACCGATGTGTGGCGTCCCTTGTCGCAGGCTGTCAGAGGAACAGATACTTGCTTTGACGAATGCGCTCGGTCCGGGTGAGGCACTCCTCATACGCCGGGTACGGCTTGTCTCTCAGGTACATGATAAAGCGGATGAGTACTTGTTGCGGACCCTCGCTGATGAGCAAACCTGGCTGCAGCATGTACGTTCTGCGGTGCATGAGCTTGCCGCAGCCCTGGAGGATGAGGCCATGCTGGAGTTTGCCTCCCGGCCATGTGATGGATTGGAGTGGCTACGGAAATGGCCGTATAGCCGGGAGAGAACGGCTACTAAGCTCAAGTGTTTCCGTCGGCTGAGGCTCGGCCAGCGCGCGGAACTTGTGCCTGGTGCCATACAAAAGGCTGCTGCCCACCAGACAGCGGCGGACTGGGGACTTGTTTTTGCCACGATTGAGGCGGGGCATGATGGGCCCGACCGTGCACACGTCTGTGGTGAATGCGGCCTCGCTTTCAGTCGGGCTTCGGCACTCGCTTCGCATCGCTCTAAACGGCATGGTGTCCGTGCGGCACCCTCGTTTGCTTGGGGGTCGGCATGCGAGGTGTGCTCCAAAGAATACTGGACCCTGGACCGTTTGCGTGGGCACTTTCGCCGTTCACCCGGATGTGCCAGAGCATATGAGCACTCCGATCTGGACCCTGCCAGTTGCAGTGCACACAATGGCCCGCGAGCGGCACCACCAGCAGCTCTCCAGGGTCCAAGGCCTTGGTGGGCGACGCTTCGCCCACCCCCCCCTCCTGTCGCACACCCAGCTCCCAGTTGCCATGATTTGCCTGCGGTAGGTGATCTTCGCACCATCGATCAGGTACCAACTTATCTTCAATGCTGGCTTCGTTCGGTTGAGCAGGGGTATGCGTGGTTTCAGGGTTTTGAGGAGAGGGACTGGCTGCGTCCGATTGTACAGATCACGGCGCAGCTTGCCGAACATGCCCATCTTGATGATGATGAGCATGTCTTCGCAGCTGGCGATTTGGCCGCTGTGCTTAAGGGCTCCCGGCTGTTGGTCGGGCCTGTCGAGGCGCTGCGCCGAGCGCGCGTCGAACTGTGGCATTGTCTTTAATGATGCCATTCGAATTCAGGAGCGCGTCGTTACGACTCGAGCCACGACGACAAAAA